CGTTGTTGACCAGTGGGTCAGGCTGGTGGAATAAAGCCTGTCGTTCACCCCCACGACACATCCGACCTCCGCAGAGCGTGCCCAACGTTCCCGCCAGCGACTCTGCGCAGCGTATAAAAGGGTCGAGAGTGACGCTCGCATTGTAACAACTGCTGCTGCCATTGCCGGTATAGCTTCCGCGTAGAGAAAGAGAGAGAAAGAGAGCGAGCCAGAGAGGAGAGAGAGAGAGAGAGAGAGAGAGAGAGAGAGAGAGAGAAGTCAGTGCAGAGTTAGGCAGGCATCCCGTCACACCGGAGCTGTGGAACCGACAGCCGGGACAAGTGATAGGTGAGTGGCGTGCTGCGAAAGTAAGAACTATACGCTCAGCGTTTAACTCAGAATTATTATACACGTCTGACTAAAATAATATGAGTTTCGTGTATATACTTCACGTTAAACGTGTGCTTTGCGGTGTAGTGCGGTTAGTTGTGTCTGGTTATAGACGCAAAGCGGATGAAATTGATCGAATACGGGCGTATTGATACGGGCGTGTCAGTCATCAGTATAGATTTAACGCTAGATGGGAGACATGCTACGAACCTATAGAGCCGGCGAGCATGTAACTAGGCTGTTTGTAGACCGTGCAACTTTAGTGTTTATAGCTTGTTCATGTATTTAGCCGCGTCCTTTGTCATTGTTCGGTACAGTTATTAGGGAAGTACAAAAAACGTAGAAATTATATCGTCATTATTTTCCCCAGTAAAATTACCAGGTAGGGCCTAAGCGTAAAATGACAAGATTTACTTCCTTAGCGGTTCTTCTGTCATTGGTTTCGTTCAATGACGTCTATAAAACGAAGAGCTTTATATTCGAAGTGGTCACTCACATGTCATCACATGTCATCACATGTCATCACATGTCATCACATGTCATCACATGTCATCACATGTCATCACATGTCATCACATGTCATCCAACATGTCATCACATGTCATCACATGTCATCACATGTCATCACATGTGTATAACAATGAAGTCGCAGAAATGACGGGATTTGCACTTCGTGCGACGAATAACAACACAACACTCAGTGAAACATGCATAGAAAATAATTTATCAGTTTACTGCTGATTGACATACTACATGAAAGAACATCATTTCAATTTGTGAAAACTTGCGTTCCTTGCTTTTTGATAGTAATAAGAACGAGTGGAAGACTAGAAGAATAAACTACGACTATAACTATTGGATAATATAGATATCATGTATATATCAACTATCTATCCATCACTCGTTCAACCGATCACCGCACCGATTACCCCGATGATCTCAGCATATCAGCTCTCAATATATTCACGACGGACCGTCAGTGGTCGTAGATGATGATGACGGTCGTCAATGACGCAAACTGCACAGAATCTTATGTGATTGTTACGACATTAACCATCATTTAGTTAAGATCACATTTTGATATGATGATAATAGATTAGTATCTCTTTGATAAGGTTTTTTCCAAAAATTTTAGGCATAAGAAGGTGTCAGGGTCACGGCATTTTTTAAGATGACCTATATAGAGGTCAATCCGTGCGGTGGGATCATCAGGTTTGCTTATAAGCTCTTGCGCATATAATGGTATAATATCATCCGCATAGGTAGGAAGATATCTTAAGCAGGGCACGTACAACCACACATAATTACACATCACTGCACTTCGTCGATTTTATCGGAAGCAGCATTAATCACATTTCACTTATTAGAGCAGCAGCAGCAGCAGCAGCCAAGCAGCAGCAGCAGCAGCAGCCAGCAAGCAGCGCAGTAGCAGGTAGCAGTTAGCAGCAGCAGCAGCAGCAGTAGTAGTAGTAGTAGTAGTAGCAGCAGTAGCAGCAGCAGCAGTAGCAGCAGCAGCAGTAGCAGCAGCAGTAGCAGCAGTAGTAGCAGTAGTAGTAGCAACAGCCGCAGCAGACAGCAACAGCAGCAGTAGTAGCAGCAGCAGGCAGCAGCAGCATCGTTGTCATCATCATCAACATAATCAACATCATTATTGTTTCATAGGCATTATCTTTATACTACACAGTGAAGCAACGTGCTCTAAAAAAACGATTTGTCGCTATTTGGCATATAAACTTTGTCCATTTTTTTCATTTTTTATTGTCAACGTTTAACTCTATTTGACATTCAATAACCCCTAAGATACATCTCACATGCTCTCGGTCTATGCGCTTTTGACACACGTACAAACGTACGCACGCACCCACCCACGCATATAATATATAACAACCCAATATATATATATATATATATATATATATATATATATATAAAATATATATATATATATATATATATATATATATATATATATAAATTATATATATATATATATAATAATCTAAAACGTCGGATATGGGTCGTTTATTTTTTAGTTCACGCAATTATTACTGTACTCAACACATACCAGTGTATTTATAATAGTCGCATATCAAGCATATCACTATATATGATACAGTACAAGTACTACCGCGTACCATGTCGTATGAATAATAATTGAACAAACCGATTAATAATTGAAAGGTGTATAAATACCGTGCTATATACGTTAGTGGTAACACAATCTATGACGATTTTGTGCAATGCCAGCGTCTTTCCATCTAAAGATTAACCATCACTTTCTTCTCATTCCATCATGTGATTTCCGCTCGTGTCGTTGTATCATGTTACTGAGCTAACGTCAGTTTATATTTTATATTTCAGATGCGGCAGAGCTACGTAAACATGAAGTTAATTTACTGTCTTGTCGTCGTTGTAAGTATTTCCATAGTTAAATATATATATAATGTTCGCCATAGAATATCGGTAGAAGATTGGCGCAGTCTGTCTATAGAGTAACACAGGAGGTTATTGTTTACCACATTCCTTGCCATATATTCGCATCCACCTTCCTATAAATAATCCTGCATGTGTGTAGTATCCACATAGAGATCATTATTTCCGTGGAATGGCGGGTAACGGTGAGTTACAGTTGCGCTATAAGTTGTATGCAATGACAGATTTCTGCTCTGCCGATCAATTCCCGTGCATGGTAGAATCACTCAATGATTAACGGTTCCCTTATTAAACTACAATGACAACAGTTTCAACCCCAGCGCCACCGCCTCCTCTGCAGACGTCTTGACGCTCACACGCCGAGTTAGATATAGTGAGTGAACGTGGCATTAACTACGGGTTAAATAAACATCGCGCACTCATTGCCGCCCGTTGTCACAACATTTCACTTGTGTCCGAGTAGAGCGAGAAACGCGTATCGCGCACAATAAACTCTGTCTTAATTCTGTCTGGGTCTGTGAACATATATATATACATACGTTGTGTTCGGTGCGCATCCCTCCCAGCGGGTTGTCGGTATACAGGAGGTGAGTGAGTATTCATTCACACGCTATCATTTTATGGAAAACAAAGAAGGGTAAAGTTCGATGTGGTCAGGCTGTTGACACACAGCAGCAGCAGCAGCAGCAGCAGAATTAGGTTACTGACACCACCCGCCAGCAGCTGTCCTCTATCGGGCCTTGGCCAGGAAGTCTGGGTAGACAGCTCAGTGGTTTATTGTTTGCTGCGCGGTGTTATGTATCGTCAATGTTTGTCTTTGTTGTTGTGTTGCCGCTGCAGCATAGCTTAATGTTTGTCTTTGTTGTTGTGTTGCCGCTGCAGCATAGCTTAATGTTTGTCTTTGTTGTTGTGTTGGCGCGTGGCAGCATAGCCGTTTAATGTTTGTCTTTGTTGTTGGTGTTGCCGCTGCAGCATAGTCTAATGTTTGTCTTTGTTGTTGTGTTACGCGCTGCGGCAAGCATAGCTTAATGAATGCGCCGAAATATTAATATTACTTAAGACCTTCTTAAAACATTTGAAATTATATCAATTAGAAAAGAAGTAATTTATTAATTTGAATCTATTATAATGTAGCACACACACAACACCACACAACACAGCACACACACACACACACACAGCACACACACAGCACACACACACACACACCACACAACACGCAACACACATCAGCACACAACCCCCCACACACACACCACACACACACACCAGCACATGCGACACCACACACACCATCACACATCACACAAACACACACATGCAACACACAGCACAATACACCCATACACACGCACCCAACACAGCACACACAGTCACACACAACACACACACACCGGTAGCACAGACAACACACTTATGTATTATATAGATAATATATATATAATATATATATAAGTGAGATGTATGCGTGGTACACACAGGTGGCGGACAGTAGTAGACAGCGAGGGACAACCACCATGCACGGCTACCACCGGAAGCTGCCATTCTCACACGAGAGCAGAAGTACTCGGTGGTCTGTACGGTCACCTTGACCACGGCACCGACTACAACGTCCGCAGTACTCCGGCTACGGCCACGCGAAGCAACAAGGCTCGACGCTAGGACTCGTGTTTGGTTACGAGGAAGAGAGTCATTTGGCCACCTCAGGTATAGCAGGCCGATGAAGCGAGCCCACCTAAACCGAGCGGGGGAGGAGGATGGGGACGGGGCGGAGAAGCGGGGAGGGGCGGGTCGGGGGCGGGTACGAGGGGGCAGGGGCGGAGACAGGGGCCAGGGTGGTTAATATCAGGACGCGAAATTGATGATTGAAACCGGGGAAATACCGAATGCAATTGTAATGAATCGGGAATAGAAGTCGACCAGGACGCAAAATTTTTTTTCCCACTTAAGTTCCGGGCACAGGCCAATCAGGCGCACTCCATTCACTCGACTTTTCGAAGCAACAATGTAATGAATACCCTTATCTCTAACTCCTTACCCTAACGCCTTAACCCTAACACGTAACCGAACCTAACACTAATACTAACTATAATCCAACCATATATATAAGCACATTTATTTTTATTACAAAACACTATCTATGGTGGGTCCGGAACTCAAGTGGGCAAAAATAATTTTGTGACTGGACGCGAGAAGTCGCCGACAGTGTGATTGTAGTTAACCGGTACTAGTAAATGGCACATTTTTACCTGGGTAACTAGAACAGAGCCACCTTTCGCCACCGTTTCCCTTTCATGATTCAGCGCATATAAAGCTCACACATACCATCGTGATGTGTATACGAGAGCATTCTGCGGCCGTATATTCTCGTGCTATTGTGCGAAATATTGCGTCTTTCGTTAATCGCATAATTGCTCTATGGCTCTGTTTGCGTACAGTGTGGGAGGCGCAAAGGACACGGCGGCGGCGGTAACGGCGGCCAGGAGGTTCCGGCCCCAACAGCCGGCAGTGTTTCCTTACAACGTGAAGGAGTACGGGAGGAAAGGAACATACCGCAGTAACTACCAGAACGGGACGACGGCTACCGCTTCGCTCCGCACTCACCAGGCGCTTCGGCAAGGGCGACCCTTACCACCACAAGCGCGATACTATGGCACAACGCATCCAAACAGACAAGGACTACAATAAGCGCATTAGCTACGATTTCGTAGCCACTCCCTACGGTCAGTACTGACGGGGAAACACAGCAATCGTGGCCGTTTTAAATCGGGGTCGCTGCGGGCTAGCGGCCGGGGCGTACGTACAGCTGGACTAGCAGGTACTAGTGAGCATTAGTAAGTGAGTCATCATTTAACAGCCACACACATGATGTTATATATCACTGACATTGTAAAGCACACAAACCTGCACAATAATTATACACCTGCACCACAAACACGCGATCATCATAGCTTGTAATATAACACAGGGTTTGTAATGCGTAATAATAATACATCACACGACGCGTCGCGTAATATGTATATATATATATATCATACGCGCGTTTAATTATGCTTTTTTTACTTATCACTGCAGATGATTAAGTTAGGATGGATTGTGGTTCTGGTTTGATTGCAATCAAACATAAATACAAACAAACATTTAATTATACACGCGACAGGAGAATGAGTTAGAAAACTGCCGCATAAGAGCTGCCAATATATAATAACGTAGCGGCGGGCTTTTATTAGCCTTATACCATTATCTATTACCTTATATATTTATCCATATCAACTACTATGAGGATGTATCAGCAAACTCATAATTAATATATTTATATTTAATGAACTTGCTCTAATAGAATATTGCTGTTTTATGATTGTGAATCATACAAGGTACATATACTTACCAGCTGTCTTGTTTCTGTGAAACTGATAGCGTCTCAGTTTGTGTGCTTGTTCTGTGAAACTGATACGGTCATCTAGTTTGTGTGGCTTGTGGCGTCTCAATCGGTTTGTCGTGGCTTTGTCCTAGCTCATACTACAGTGTACGTGTATTGTAATCGCATCGCATTTTTGCATGTTTTGTAGCAATGTTTCGTATCACATCGCAACTTTATTGTCTCCGTACTCTAGCACGAAGTGTTACGTTAACCCTAGCATACAACGATCTATTCTGCATGCTAGCATCGCTATTGATAACCACATGTGACGTCACGCAAGCGTTAAGAAGCCATTTGCTAGAGCGCAATACTGTTACGTTCAGTTTTGTTTAAATTTTTATTGTTATTCGATTAGGTATAATATCGAAGTTAGTAGTTATATATATTATATATATACTATATATATATATATATATATATAATATATATATAATATAACGTTAAGCACAAACTGTTATATGCATATATTAATATGCTAATAAAGGCTGTTATCCAACAACTCATATCCGACTTTTCTTAGAACATTGTACTAAATGTCACAAATAAAACGCAGCAAAAACCCGATAGCTATTCACACACTGTTTCTATTTTATAATCGAAATATTAATTCACGAAACATAATAATATCCCAGTTCAATTTCATAACCTTCAATTCGCTGTATTCGACCAGCAAAATCAATGTTCCATGTTGATTCCAAATCCATGTTGGTTATTTGTTTAAAGCTCAGAAATTCATTGACAACATGGTTCTGTACTATATTTATTGCTATAAAGTGAGTTTTTAACATAGAAATTACAAAACAATACAGTTTTATTTCTTTTGAGTCTGATCTTGAGGTTACCGCGTTTTCAATACCAATCGTTTGCTATTAGTAAAATGTTATATATTGCCCCATATATATATATATATTAGATGCAGATTTTAACAATATTATGTTAACTATTATATAGCCAACTTGTGGAGGCGTTCACATAATAGACACGTTAATATTATGAGATTCTTGTACACGGTCATTTCACAGTATTGTTCACTTTTACGCCAAAGCCTATGGATGGTGCAGAGAATGGGGAATATAAAATAGAGAATAGACAATATACAGAATAGAATACAGAGAATAGAGACTAGAATAATGGAGAATTAAGAACACAGAATCGAATAATAGAGAAACATAGATAATTCGCCTCCACCGCTTCAAGCGATGAATGTAATTGCGAATTATTTACTCTCGCACACACGCAAATGTATTTATACACGCCGCTCGATTACCGTTCTACCGTAATATGGTAATTACGCAAATGACCACATGATAATCGTTGCTTATGCATGCGTTCTAACGATTTAATTTGCACTTACGCAATTTAAAATAAATAATCGCCAATGTAATTGGTTTACAAAAAAACGTTTATACTTATAAGACTATGTCGTGTGCATCGAAATATTATGGTATTTAGCCTTTTACCGACCAAACATTAATGATAAAGTCTTTAAACGTTTATTTCGCCTAAACTATGTAGCCTTTTAGCCCCGATTTCGTCTAAACTATAAAGCCTTTTGGTATTTTTTTAATAAGAATTACTCATGAAGATTTACAAATACGCAAATTCCCTCGTAGATTTACAGCGACCTGTATCGCGCGCGAGTCGATTGTTCCCTGTAGGGGGCGCTACTATGTTATTCTAGTGTTAGTCGTGCGTGCAGACGTGTACGAACAGCTCAGAATGGTACGGTGGATGACCACCACGTGGCCGATCGTTTTTCTAAGAAATAAGTTCTTCCGTAGCATTAAAAACCGTGCGTAATTTATTGTGTGTGTGGGCGCGCGCGTGTGTGTGTATGTATGTACGCGCATGCGTTGCGTGTGGCTGTCTGTTTCCCTCTCTGTTACACACGCTCTCTTTCTATACCCCTCGTTCTGTCTCCGTGTGTTCGCGTGCCTGTCTGTAAGCGCGTGCGTATATGCGCGCGTGCGTGCGCGCATGTTAAGCGTGCATGCGCGTGTACACCATTCATTCGTCCATTTATTATAATTGCGATTATTTATATTTATTTCAAGGATAAGAACAAATTAGGACCGACCATGAGCTGGACGTGGTGTTGTGTGTGTGTGTGGACCGCATTGATAATTGTTTTTACCTTGGACCCTATATTATGCGTCACACATTACACAGGTATTTATTTATAAACACATGACTGTACTTAGCATGTACGGTATACAGATCTAAGGGTATCGTATCGCATTTACCAAAACTCAGCTGAGCGATCTACCGTTGCAGCGTGTGACAACGAATCTCTAGTAGATACCCACGATATTTCACGCATGTAAACTAGTAGCACGATGCGCATGCGCGGTTACACGAGTCTTATGTTTCTATAGTACACACGTGATTGACTGTTAGAGACAGAGCCGATGGTATCTCTCATCTTATTGTAATAACCCACGTCATCGCACGTTAACAATTATACAGCTATACGCGCGCGTTTGTCCTTATGTATGTTAATAGCAAGTCACGGACAGCGCATGCGCGCGCGTCATCACCATTACCTGCAATTAATTACCATAATGTGCGTCTATATAGACGTGTCATGATCTCTCTGGCCCTGGCTGGGACTTAGAGGCGAGCGCAGGGGGAGCGGTGGGGTAGGGGTGGGGGTAGGGTGGGTGTGGGGTGGGGGCAGGGAGCAAGATTAGTCGCATTCCTTGTCTAGCGCGGGGGCAGAGAAAACAAACATGAACAGACAGACAGGTGATATCTGCGCTAATTAGCCAGCGTTCAATGACGGAGACGAGTAACGTGAAGGTCACACGCAGGTAACGCTTATATACCGCACCTGTAATCATCAACACTTACCTGTATACACGCACGCACGCACGCACGCACGCACACACGCACGCACGCACGCACGAACGCAAGAACGAACGAAGGCACGCACGCAAGCAGGCAGGTACACACACCCATACACACGTACATGCATACACGCACGCACGCACGCACGCACGCAAGCATTCAGCAATGCTCTCGGTCTATGCGCTTTTGCACACCGTACAAACGTACGCACGCACCCACCCACGCATATAATATTATAACACCAATATATATATATATATATATATATTATATATATATATATATAATTATATATATATATATATAATAATGCTAAAACGTCGGATATGGGTCGTTTATTTTTTAGTTCACGATATTATTTATGTACTCACACAATACCAGTGTATTTATAATAGTGCGCATATCAAGGCATATCACTATATATGAGTAGCAGTAAAAG